CTCTTACCCCGGGCTGCGCTCCCACCCCTGCCCGTACCCAGCGCCTGCCGGGCTCCTGCCTGGCCCCTGCCCGAATCCTGCTCCTCAGCCGGCCTCTGCCTGGTATCCAGCCCCTGCCCATACCCCTTGCCTGTACCGGCCCCTGAGGGTTCCCCTTGCTCGTCCCCAGCTTCTCCCCGTACCCCGTTGCCCTTCCCCAGCCCTGCCCGGTTCCCGCTCCCTGCCTTCCCCTGTGCCGGACCTGGAGGAGCTCGCCCTTCTGAAAACCTCCACCCTCGCCCCGCGATCGCAGTGCAAATGCCTCCTTCAAATTAAAAAATAAGTAATAAAAAAAATATAAATAGATACAGCTTTGCAGAGCGCCTTTCCTTGCACACCCGTCCCCCTTTAGCGGAGCCAACGCAGCGCGCTGGGTGACTTACGAGCAATGAATTCGCGGAGCTCGTTTGGGAAAGATCCGGGTCAGAAAACCGTGCAAAAATGAAGAAAGCTTTCTCGGTGGTTAAGCTGTGATTGTTATTTTTTTTCTCCCCCCCCTCTCCTCTCCCCCCCCCCCCCTCGATCTGCTTTTGGACCTCAAAAATAACGAGGAAGTCTGAATAAAGCGCGCAACTTTTCCTGCCCGCGGACTCTGCAGAGTTGCTTTTTGGCTGTATCTGTTCGGGTGTGTCTGTTCACAGACGTGCAAGAATGTGAGAGCCGCTCAACTGACACGAGTACGTGTACACATTCTATTCGGATATAGGCATAAAAAGTAGTAAAAATTGGATCCGATTTGAAAACAAGGAACAGAAGGAAAAAAGAATCCAAATTCTAGTTGAGCTTAGCTTGGACTTGCAAAATGAAAACTAAAAGAAAGGAAAGAAAAAAATATATCCAGTCCCTGAATATCAGACCGTGTTTCTCTTCTGTTTTCAGCTTTTTTTTTCCTTTTTTTTTTTTTTTCCCTCTTCATATTTGTCCTTATTCAATCGAATTATATTTAATTCGAGGTCTAAATAACTAAACTCTTGCCTTTAAGTTGCCTTATTCCAACCCCCAGATCATTTCTTTGATGTTTTAAATCGCATCAAACAGCTTTTCCATGGGAAAAAAAAAAGTTTAGGACTTGGCATGCTGAATACAAATATGCAAATAAATAAGCATTTAAGCATTTACTCTTGGTTTCCCGTTCCTATACTTATGTGTGTTGGTGTATGTGTCTCTATATCTGCCTGTATGTACATGTAGAGCTCTATAAGTATTATAAAGCCATGCCTGTATCTATATATTCTCTATATATTTAAATATACATATAGTCTTACTCATATACGTATGATATACTCACCTCGTAGATATCTTCATACTTGACATTTTCAACCAGTTTCCAGAGCATGATGGCAGGCTGTTCTCTAGGAGGTGAGTGCATTCATGTGAAGAGCAGATGTCTGGATTCTCAGTACTTCTCTGTCTGTAATGATCCATCTATAATTGGAAATGGGGGACAGACACCAAATCCGACGTTCCTCTTCCATCGCAACTTATATCTGTTGTCTGAAACAATAGGCTGCAGAAGTCTACCTCAATCGGACAGTAAAAAACATTATGTTACATAGTTACATATATCTACAGACATTATGTGACTAGATATATACATATACACATGTATATAGACTGAGACTTATGTGCAGGCATAGAAGATACATGCATACACTCAGTTGCACATACACAAATGTACATATACATGCACAAACACACATATATCTCCCAACCTATAACTTTTTCTATGTATAGACATATAGACACGGACATATTATGTAAATTATACATATTCTTGTGTATGTAGAGACACGTATACAACATGTTACATGCGCATATATACATGCAAACCTGATCAATTTATAAAGAAGTGCATAAAAATGCACATTTGTGTACGTATTTATACATCTACACATAGATATGTGGGGATACAGTGATGAAATACACATACTGCATAGTGCAGATATCCACTGTTTTGATAGATGATAGATAGATAAATAGATAGATAGATAGATAGATAGATAGATAGATAGATAGATAGATAGATAGATAGAAGAAATTAATGATTTTTTAAAATCCTATTTGCATTAAAAGAAAGAATTGCCCCTGCACTAGGCGGTCCATCATTTACAATGAGATATGATGCTTTTTTTTCCCCACATGCAATATGTTTTTATTTACACGGCCAGAAATGATCCTCTCCTATGCAGTAAACCACCAAACCAGCGTCTCATCAAGCACATTCAAGCAAATCTAAAAGGAGGAAATTTAGATCAGTGATTTTCATTTGAAAGCCTTACACTTCAGACTCGGACTGTGCATTTTATAACTTGGAAACACTTTCTCTGAGGAAAAAAAAAAAAAAAGGAAAAAAGGGGGGAAAAAAAGGAGTTTATCAAACCCTTTTATGCACACATTTGAACAGCAATTAGTTACTTTCTGCAAACGACTAAAACCAGAGTTGGATTTGTGTCTTTCCAGGGTAGCCCTCGGTTTCGAAGGGGAGAGGAGGAGTTGGACCATTTTTAACCTTATTTTTTTTTTCCCCTCAAGGCAAACCTTCCTTCTCATTGTCCTTTTTTTTTCTTTCTTTCTTTCTTTTTTTTTTTTTCGATTCTGCGGGTTAGCAGAGCCCATCTCTGCCTCTGAAAGGAAACAATTGAGCTTTGCAATGGGCTGGTGCATCGGGGAGGGGGGAGCGGTGGCGGGGAAGGAAGAAATAAAAAAGAAAAAATAAAGAAGTGAAAGCACAGGGGCAGAGAGACAGAGAGAATGAAGGTGTTTCTGAATTCAAGGTCCTGTCTCTGGAAATTTCAAGCTCTGCCTATAAGGTTGCTACAAATCTTTGCTTTTCTGCACTGGATCCTGTGGGAAGGTGCAGAGTGTCCTTTGTACTTTCAAAGGTCCTAGAGGTAAAGACGCTTATATATATATGTTATCCCGAAAACGAAGAGAACTTCATCAGAAGACACTTCTGGTGGTGTTTGGTTGGCTGCTGGGAAGGGTTGTCTTTTTTTTTTTTTTTTTTTTTTTTACTCTTTCTCAAATTAAAGCAGAAAGTATAAATTCATCCCTTTTCCCCCTCAGCCTCCCCAACCCCTCCCTTCCAGTTTCAAGTGTGCATCTTCTTCCAAAAACTCAGCCCTCAAAAGGCAAGGAACAAATAACAGCCAGATATTAGAGCAGGAGCTGGACAACGCTCTGGCTGGAAGTTGCTAAAGCAGATAGGAGGTTGGTTGGTTTGTTGTTTGGTTGTTGGGTGTTGTTTTTTTTTTTTTCTCCACAGAGGAGCCACCGCTGCACAGAGGAGGAGGAGAAAAGGGCACATCTCTGAGTGGGTTGGACAGACCATTTCAAGGGAGGCAAGACTGTAAAAAAAAAAAAAAAAAGCTGAAAAAATAGAAAAAGCATATAATGTTTGCATGTGGATCTGCGGAGAGATCCATGCAGCCACTTCTCCTGCACCTACAGATCTGAATGACCCTCTTAGAAAAATACCAGGCTCATAAAGGGACCCTTTGCCATGACTTTCGTTAAAGTCTTTGAGTCATGTCCTGGAAGGCTGGCACAGGGCAGGGGGAATGGGCTTCGTGACAGTTCATGCTTTACAATTTCGCGGCACCCTGAATTAAATGTTGTACGTGCTGGGGGAGGGGAGGAAAAAAGAGAGGCTAAAATAGATTTGTCCACCACGGTCTCTCCGCTACGAGAACGGTGTAGAGAGTAAATGCTTCTTGCAGATCCCACTATTTCCGCACTTCGCCTGCAAAACTTGACAAACGTGTCTCAAGCGGGCTTTTAAAAAATGAAATTGAGCAAAGATTCTTCCCAGTTTTGGTGCTGGCTTTGCCCACCCCGCACCCCCGGCTTCTAACGGAGCAATTCCAAAAAGAAAGACTCGCAGCAGTTCATACCCGAAACACGCAGAAGCCGCCGGGCCCGCCGAGTAAGAACTGACCGTGACAAGCTATACTTTCCAATCTAAAAAAAAGAAAAAAGGGAAAATCAGACTTTTCCCCGGCAGTTTCACCAGCAGCTTTTGCAACCCCTTCGAAGGCAAACCCCGGCTTTTCCAGCGGGGAGCTGGGCAGGGACACGGCAGCCTCAGCCTGGCAGCTGCAAAGCAATATTTTATTTTTATTATTTTTATTTTTTTTCTTCCTTCTCCTTCCTTTTCAAACCCTACAAAGCCATCTTTCCACCCAGCCCCTCCGCTGCCCCAGGTTCCAGCTGCAGCCCAGCGGGCTGGGGGAGGGGGGCGGCCGGAGCGTTGAGCGGGGCAGCGGCGCCCTCTGATGGGGGTTCCCTTCCTGCTCTGTCCCCCCCTTCCCAGCTTATACCCAGCGCTTCCAACGGCCACGCATTTCCTCTGCCAGAAACGATGCTGATAGCGGTGTTTCAAACCCCTTAGGACAAAGCTACAGGTTCTTATTTATGCCGTTGTTTTTCCTAATTCCATGTTTTAGCCTCTGCCTTGTAATTGGGATAAATCTTTCAAGCCCTGCATTTAAACCCAGTGTGCAGCCCATGCCAAGGATCCAAACTGGTTCAAAGGGATGGCTGTTGAGAACCCTGGGAAGGAGAGGACCTGCAACACGGTGATAGTAAACTTAGTGTGAAATCAGAAAAAAAAATCTTTCATAACAAGTTACTCTAATTTCATATGATGTTTCTGGTTGGTTGTGGGGTTTTTTCCTTCTTTTGTTTTAATTAAAGAAAAAAAAAACACAACAAAACACCTTTGCCTGTACGTAGCCAAGGTCCTGTTTCAGAAAAGGACTTTCAGTCCCTGTCTACCTTTGTAACCCAGCGTGGGTCTCTATTTATAATAAAGCATATTCCCCTCTGTATCCTGCTCCCAGCAAACCTCTGTTTTTTACTAGAGTTTAAAACAAATCCATTGATCTCAGCGCCCTCTGCTGCTCGCTGCAGGATCTCGTGTTCTGACAGTTTCGGACAGTTCTAACTAAAAATCCAGTCTTTATTTTTTTAACGTTTGGTATCTGTTCTTGCAAGCCAGCTTTTAAAAATTTTGTTTTATTTTTTTTTTTCCCTGAAACTTTTCTTCCATACATTATCACGTGTGTTTCAGGATTCAATACGTTTTATTAAAAGTTTTCTTTGCAATTTAATTCACAGGGGGACAAAGATCAGATAACATTGCAGGTATCTCAAAGCCCAGCTCAAAATTTGCTGCCTGTTTATTGATGGATTTATAAAAATAGTTGTGTTGCTGGGTGTTTTACACTTTTTCTTTGAGAATAATACCAAAATCATGTCTTGAAATAAATCCAACTTCCTATAATTTTTTCTGGTAAATCTATTTTCCCTGTTATATCTGCAGATGTAACCAGGGTTTTTCATAGAATTATAGGATCATAGAATAACTTGGGTTGGAAGGGACCTTTAAAGGTCATGTATTCTGACTCCCCTGCAGTGAGCTGGGACATCTTCAACTAGATCTGATTGCTCAGGGCCCCATCCACCCTGACCTTGGATGTTTTGAGGGATGGGGCATCTATCACCTCTCTGGGATACCCCTTTCAGTGTTTCACCACTCTCATTGCAAAAAATTCTTTCTTCATATCTAGCCTGCATCTACCTTCTTTAGGTTTCAAACATTTATCCCTTGTCTTATCACTACAGGCCCTACTAAAAAGTCTATCCCCATCATTTTACATTTTTCCAAAACCACCAGTGCTCATTATTCATGGAGGAACATCACTGAACCTTCTCATTGCTGCCTGCTCTTGTAGATGCCAGGAGCAGTTTGTAGTGAGCCAGGGAAGCTCAACCAGATGTGCTGAGCCCCCATGGGCAGCCCCAAACAGTTTGCCACATTTAAGAACTCTGTGGGGGAGAGGCTGTGGGCTTTTGCATCACTGGTGACCTCCCTGGTGACATCCTTTGCCACAGCCCTTTTCAGGCTCTTCCTAAAGCCAGGCTCAAGGTAAAGGAGTCACCCCTGGGCATTGGAACCCCCCTCACAGTACCTTGGGGCTGCCAAACCCCTTATACCAGTGCTTGCAACCAGGGATAATGGGGCAGAGACAGTAACTGAATCTGAAATGTCTTCCCTGAAAAGGGCTCCAAAACACCCTAATAAGCATGCACGGGAGCTGTTAAGCTAGGAAGGGCTGGTCTGATGATTTCAACCATCAGTACTACCCACCAGTGGAAAGGAGGGACCAAAGAGCCTTTCTGAAGACTAGCAGACTCTTCCCTGTGCTTCCTGACCTTTATTTGCAGGAGGAAGAGATTAAAAAAACCTCTGCATTGGAGAGACTCAGTGATGAACAATCAACCCAAGAGCCACAAAACAGAAATCCCACCAGGTGGCCTGTTGCCCCTATTTCTCTCCCATTTTAAGAACATGTTTGTAATGATATT